CCCCCCCCCCCCAATGCTGTCGTGGATACTGAGTGTGTGGCGGGATGGAAGAGTATCGCACGCACGTGGGCTGCATGTGAAGTCTCCTACGAGCGTCTGCTCCCTAGTACTGCATTGCCTCCTCTCCGGTGGTTTGAGGCGAAAACTTGCAAGGTGTCCACTGGCTTGGCAAGTGGTCGCGAGTAGGGTTTTGGTGGAGAAAGTTGTAATGGTGACCCAGTGGCCGATTAGCACACACACACAAACTATGTCGATCAGCCACCACCCTCAGGCATTCACTCCTCTTCGGAGAACACGCAAGTATTTAGTGGAGGGAATAGTACTCAGTAGTCCGATCAAGGAACAAACACACCCATTTGGATCAGCCACTCATGGTGCATCGTGAGATCTCATGGTGCACCGCTACCCGCTCCCAGACAATCAATGCCCTTCCTTCAACCATCCGACTAAAGGTTGTGATTCAATCGATCAGCGGCCCAAAGCAACCCAGATCGAATCAAGACTATCTTCTGTTTACTGCAGTCATCCCACCAAGGTGAAAGAAAGTGTGTGACTCAGTCAATCAACCGCCCAAATCGAATGAACCATTTTTCATGTGTGGTGTTCGTTTGTCCGCGATCTACGAAACACGATCTACGAAAAACAGCATGCGATGGCCGCCGTGGCGGACGAGCTCATCGACCGCTTCACCTACGAGGCGATCAAGGAGAAAATGGCGGAGGAGAGGAACTCCGGCAGGGCCAGCGGGACGGGGGAGCTGGGGGCCGACCTGTGGGTGGAGTCCATGGTAAGGGCGCAGATTCGACCCGGTTTGTTGTTCTTGGTGTTGTTCTTGTTCCTAGTGTTACTGTCGGTTAGCTGTTGAGGGTGATGTTGATGTTGATGGGTGGTGGCGGTGGGTGTTGTCGTCGTCGTTGTCGTTGTCGTTGTCCCATTGAAGCGTTCTGGATCTTGGCCAAGGGTCTTCCATTCGGGCCGCACTTTGTTCCTGCCTGGATGTGGAACGAGTCACATCCGCTTTGGCCCTGCTGTAGACGAGCACATTTGACCCCTGCTGGCCGGGTTGTTCGGAAGGACGATCCGAACAGGGTGTCGAAAGACTCCACGGCAGCTGCGCTTGGACGGTCCCGTTAACCCTGGTGCTTCCCCTGGTCTGGCTAGCTTTGCACAGAGTCGCGAACGCTCTGACGACGGCACACTGCAGTACAATGTACAAGTGTGCAGCAGACCGGCCGCCTCTACCCGCCCGGTGTACTATGATGTAAACTTTGGTTGATTGATTTGATGGGTTGCGTGTCGGAGCTTTTCTTGCTATTGTTGTTGTCGTGGTCGTCGTTGTTGTTGTCGAAGTTGACCCGGTGTTCATATGTAACACTTTTTTCGTACTTTGTAGGTGTCGAAGGGGCTCAAGTGGGTGCAGAGCTGGCGGGCGGAGGGGCAGACGGGAAGCGGGGAGCAGGGGCAGGCCATGTCGCCGAGGGGGCGCAAGGCGGGGCCCAGGCGGTCCTCGATCTTCGGCTCACCGGTGAGACAGTGAGAGAGAAAGCGAACTATTGGCATAGGTGACGTAAGATGTCACACCCTGGACTGATACAATTCAAAGCTTGATTACTCCACGACGAAGAAGGTTGCATTAATGAAACCATGCGTTTTCGGACAAGGGCGGCTTCAACGCCGCCGTTTTCGGTTCTGCCGCTCATTCTGCTGTGGAGAAATGAAGCTTCGAAAATTGGTCCAGGGGGTGTAAATAGTGTATTTTGTCATGTTACCTACGGTATAGTAACGACCAGCGTCGGCGGCGAAAAGTCAGGCATACTGGTCTGAAGGTTTAAGGTTGTCGGCGCTGCGTTTGGTTCTCCCCGTGTCATGCCCGACTTGGCGAGAGACAAGCGAAGCAAACCTTCCTGCTTGTCCCAGCTGTTCGTATCGCTCCGTCCTGGCAATGGCCTTACGACCACGGCACGCATTTACACGAGTATTTCCCCCCCCACCCCCCCGCG